ATGCATGCATGCATGCATACATACATACATAAATACATACATTTTTGAAGCCTGGGGTTGAAATGAGGGTCCTTGGTGATTTCTGATTATTTTTGTAATCTGTAGAACGATTGACAGAATTTTGTTAATCATATTTATATTTTAATGAAATAATAACTTCTCTATTTGTTAATCATTATATTTTGTGGGGAAATGAAGCTGTTAATACCTAACTAGCTAGAAATGCGCTATCAAGTATGTTTATTTTGTCCTGATGGATAAAATTATACTAGGATTATAAATCCTAGTAAATTAATAATTTCCAAGCTAGACTAAAAGTATTAAAAGTAACTCTTCTGTATAGTAAACTGAGAAAGTGTGATTCAATCCCTGCTTTCAGAATTAAATAAAGAAGTATTTATGATACTTCAACCTGAAATTCTTTTTACTGTATTATTATGCTTGTTATATTAACCGCTGGTGAAATTTCTTGTGAAAAACTGACTTCTATTATAGTATTAAATTAACAAACAGGGTTTTAATTTGTATAATGAAATTGCAGTCTGTTGTGTCTATACTTTGTATTGACAATTCTGGAAATAGACAAAAACAAATGTCTAAAGAAGGTAACCCAGATGAGATATTTTTATATAAGGAACTGTAACAAGATTACAGTAGTCAACAATAAAGCATTGTGAAGAGAGTAAATTAAACTTGTAGGTTTAGTGAACTTGAGAACAAGTCCAAGCATGTGACTTTATAAATAACAATTTCACAACGAATATAGGCTTGGTAAGCGGCCCATAAATCTGGGCAAAGAGCCTGCTGAGCATTTTAATGCCAGCTCTGCCAGCTCTATTCCCTGAACTGACTTACTGATGAGAAAATTAAGAAAAGCTGAAATTAAGCAGGATTCTGTTGACAAAAACAATTTTAGACTTCTGTCACTTGTCTTTTCTATCTAGGAGCATGGGGTCATTAGATTAAATCAAGAGTTCAAAGGATTTTGATATACAGGAAAAAGAAATACAGCACTGGTGGAATGCAATAGGTGGCATTTCTCTTATGACATATGTAGTAATGTAAGTTTTGTCATAGGAGCTATTGTGTGACTTAATTTTTCTCCAAGTCTTCTGTTCCAAGCAAAAAGATAAATGTAGAGGAGAATACAATCTGGATATGTAGAGAGGTTATGCTCTTTCCTAAGCCCTCCCCGCCTCCAAGTATAATCTACAGGTAGGTAGAAGAGATTTGGAGGAAAGTCCTGTATACATTCTTTTCTGGCAGATCCTCCTCTTTTCCTTCTTCAGTATTCTGTTCTCCAACAGTACAGAGATAAGAAGAATTTACTTAAAGAGTGGTAAAACTGTCATGATAGCTTGTTTTTTCTGTACAATTAATAAGGGCTGCTGTCCATCACTGCTTGATTTGTAAAGTTAAATATATTTTCTTCCAAGTCAGCTGCTTACCTTCTACTGCTTATTTCTTCTCTTCAGAAAAAAAACAAAACAGGGCAACTGTAATACGAGATTCATGCTGATTAGAAGTCAGTGATATGCCTTAGATTCAACAGGCCATATTAAAGGACTGGAAGTCAGCTCTTTGTAAACACTGGGCTGTGGTTTCTCTTGAAAGGATCCGTGAGAAGTGGCTGCTATGTTTTTGTTTTCATAAAACCAATCCATTTCATCTGTTATTCTAATTTTTAAAATTAATATTTGAAACTTGATGTGGGTCGGTAGTTTCTGAGCTACATTTTCCTATAAACTTATTTTATTTCAGATGGGAGAGGGAGAGGAGAGGATTATCTAGGATTTGAATGCATCTTCATTAAAAAGGGATTGGAAGAATTATATGGAACCTCCATCACTTCCTTTTGAATGGAGACCAAATACAACACGTTATGGAAAAGTAGGTTGCAGGCCAAACTAAAGGAGATCAGAAAGTGTCTTTCAGTGATATATGAGCTGTGAGTTCTAGGCTGATTGTAAGATTGAAGTGAAAACTGCACAACATTAAACATGGGGAGATTTTTCTACAATAAATAATGAATGGTTTTCTAGCTGAAAAATAGTAATATTTAATGACAGATGTGTACGGCAACATGGGCAGTCATCTACAGATACTTTCTTCTGTTAACTGAAGTCATCTTGTGCTTTTCATTTATTTAATAGTACAAATGGATGGAAGTTTTGTATCCTGCACTTTAGTGTTTGCATGAACTTAATGAGATGAGTGCCTACATTGGATGAATAGATGGATATGTGTAGCTTAGAATAGGGGTGTCAAACTCAGTTTCATTGAGGGCCGCATCAGATTGTGTTTGACCTCGGGAGGGACATGGACAGGGGGGACATGGCAAGCATGACATCACTCATGTTGGTGGTGCCTGTGGTGGCCCGAGTGCTCTGCCAGTGAAAACGGGCTCCCAAGCTCTATTTTCGGCTTTGCCAGCCTTCTGCAACCCTCTGCCAGTGAAAATGGAGGTCAGTGTGTATCTCTGTGAATTAGTGGTGTGTGTTCTAGATGTTTTCTTTAAGAGTCATGTTCATGATGCAATTTCTCATGCAACATGCTGAACATCATAAACCCGATAATCGGCACATTGGGTTAAAAACAATACAATAAAACTAAATTGGTAATACTACACAATCTATATACAGCACTACAAATCTTTATTTATTTGCTTAGGAAAGCAAGGTTGAGGTTCTTCAAAAAATTTTGGGAGCTGAGTGTTTTAAAGGGGAGTGCTGTGATCAGGTGCTTCTTGGGTCCTGTCACATGACATTGCTTAATGGATGAGGTCCAGAACATGCCAACTTCTGATCTTATAGTGCTGGCAGAAACAAATGGAGAAAAATAGTCCCACAAATAACATTACAGGTAATCCTCAACTTGCCACAGCAATTAGGATCAGAATTTCTGTCACTAAGCAATGAGATCATAAAGCTTGACTGCATCACGTAGTAACAACAATGCTTATAGTCCTGGTTGCTGTTAACCAAATCCATAATCATTAGGTGAGGCAGCTTCCTTCCAGCATCCCACAACCAAAGTCAGTGGGGAAATGGGCAAGAAGTGCCAAGCTCCATGCCAGTTGGCAGGCAAGTGAGTCAAGGAGGTTGCGAAAGAGGTGCGTGGGAGAGAGGGCACAAAAGGGTGCATTAGAAAGGAGGGAGGGATACAGGCATGGAACTTGTGATCTTCCCTGCAGCTTCCTCAGAAAGTCAGTGTAGAAGCTGGTAGGGAACGTTGCCACTGGCAATCACATCAGAGGTGGTATTCAGCCAGTTCTGACAGGTTCCGGAGAACCAGTAGCAAAGATTTTGAATAGTTTGGAGAACGGGCAAATAGGCTGGCCCCACCCCTGCTGCCTCCCAGCTGATCTTCTTTTGTTGCCCTGCACAGGAGAATGGAGCTGGAAAGCAGGTTAGTGGTGTGGGGAAGGAATGGGGATTTTGCAGTATTCTTCCTCTGCCATGCCCAACAAGCCACACCCACAGAGCCGGTAGTAAAAAAAAATGAATCCTAGAACTGAATCACATGATTGTAGGGCTGCAACTAGTCATAACTACAAACTGGTTTCCAATCACATGGCTGTGGGACTGCTGGGATGGCCAGAATTCCAAGGACCATAACTACTGTTCTTTTAGCACCGTCTTAACTTTCAACTGAATGGTCATAGGTTGACGTCTATCTGTAATCAATATGACAAAAATCAGAGACTACCCACTACCAGGCGGAATAAAACCACAACATTTGTCCCCAAGACCTGATAAATTCCCTAAGGGAAGGGTCCTGAAGGAAGCCCATTCTTCCCATTTTTGTTGGATTAGACAGATGATATTTGGAGTCAATAGGTAGTTCTGCAGGGGCTGAATAGTAAAAATGCTATTCAGAAATTTCTTCTCTATTTCTAGGTCTTAAATTCTTCCAGTTTGAGGAATTCAAAATAAAGCAGCTAGTAACAGGCAGTATAATATTCCACACTTTTTTTTTAAAAAAAAGCAACTTTATGCATTTATTATCTTAATCTTTTAATAATACATTTGGTGCTATTGTGCCACTACATTAAAAAAAACTTCAAGTGAATATTAATAGCATTCCCTTTGTTTTAATTAATATTCTTTTTGATATTGATAGCTTTACACTTTTTGTTATATTTATTATGCCTAATAAATTCTGAACGTTGTGGGCATTATGCATAAAGGTTTGTCATTAAAACATAAATTCCTTACATACCGTAAAGAAGTTAATTGCAAGTGAAATATTGGACTTAATATATATTTATATTTAATATATTTATTATTAAATCTGTCACATAAGATACATTTATTTTAGATACCTGTCTAAATGTTTAAATATTTCAATACTTCCTGTCTGGTTTAATTGTGTGTAATGAAAAAGTCCTTTTATTGAAATTAACATGGTTTTAGGAACACAAACAAGTCAGGGAATAAATACCAGTTGACCACCTTCAAGATTGAAACCAACATTTGACAATCTGTCAAATATTCTAAATGCTACCCTAGATGAGCCTACTCTGAATTTGTATATGTTCCAGCAGGATTTTGTTTGACTTGAAATTCAGACCTCACATAACATATTGTACTTTTATTCTTTTGAAGTCTTTCTGAATTTCAAAAGCAATTTCTAAATTCTGTAACTTGTTTTTCATGACACAGATCAGCAAAAACTCTTGGACACTCTGCATTAATTCTGCCTGCGGCTGCAATGATTTGGAGCAGATTTTTTTCAGGACTGTCAGATTCATTGCTCATTTTCTAACTTCTCATTATGAATTTTCATATTGTTTCACTTATGCGGCATTTAACACTTTGTTCTATTTTGCTTTAGTCACATTGACCAGACAACAACATGGCAGGATCCAAGGAAGACTCTCCTTTCCCAAATGAATGTTACAGCTCCTACAAGCCCTCCAGTGCAGCAGAATATAATGAATTCAGCAACCGGTAAGGAGAAACCAACCAGAATTTATAGAGAATTTCAAGAAGCTTCACATTTAGAATATAAAGTTTATGCTGATCATTTGTCATTATTACTGAGATTCATTACTGAAAATGGATGTTACACAGATTATTGTCTCCCATATAAGTATTATCAAACACTTCCTATGATAAATAAAACACAAATTAATGAATAGAAAGTGTTATGGCAGTGGAGGAAGTAAGCTTGAATTTTTTGAAACATTCTAATTTTTAAAACAGTATATGAGGATTTGTGCAAAACGCCATAGGTGTATGCAAGTCTTCATTTTCCTCTTCTTAGGCTTTGCCTTGTCATGTTGAAAACTTTCTCAGTTTTGTTTCTTTTATATCTTGGTGCATTTATTTCTTATTATTTTATTTGCTATGATTTCATAGTAGCTTTTGTTGGCAGTGGTTTATAATATATAAATAAATCTTTTGCAAACATCAGTATTTTCTGAACTCCATGTTGCCAAGTTATTTAAGCAATCTAGAACATGCTTATATAGCAAAGGTGTGTCAAACATATACATGTATGTTCTTAAGGCCATGCTGTAGCTTGTGGAAGGTAACTTCGTGACCTTGAGAAGGGAGGTAGCTACCTTAAGTTGGTTCCCCACAGCAGTGGTGGGTTGCTACCACTCCTGACCGGTAAGACTGTACCAGTAGTGGCCTGGAGCAGCTGAGAGCGTACTGGTTTGGTGGCTTGTTTGGCCCGCCTGCGCTCTATAGCTATATTTATACCAAAAGGCACACTGCGCACGCACGCACAGCGCGCCCCGACAAGCAGCTGGGTGTTGGGGCAGTGGACTGTGCATACATTGTATTTTTATCTAATAGATACCTTTCACCCTAGCTTCACTGATAACAGATAAGAGCCTGTGACCTAATGGCTAAGATGTCTGCCTAGTATGTAATA